GTGATTACTGATTGATATATATATATATAAATGATCTATATAAAAGCCAAATCTGTTTATACAGATTATGCCATCACTCTCAGGTCGACCAACATAGGATCAATCGAGACGGATGCCTTTAAATTTTTTATATTTTTATTTTATATTTTAATTTTTTCAAATTTATGAAAATGTCTTCACTAAAATTATAATTCATCCTCAGTGAATTCTTTTATTTTTTTTTATTTTTTGTATTTTATACTTTAAATTTTTGAAAATTTATGAAAAAAAACTTCATTAAAATTATAAAATGAACTAATTATATAAATTTGTCCCACCTTCACTCACAAAATTTTGTGGTCCGTCACTCATCCCTCCCTTGTGAGAGTTATACAAACGGATTGGATTTGTATACCATTTTTTATAATTTTATATATGCAAATATATATATATATATATATAATGCTAACAAGATTCTTACCAGCATGTAGCCATGTAGGATATACCAACTTACCACCCCAAACTCTGGCATGCCAGTAATCTTTTGTCATGCATCTTTGAATCAATATTTTGGAGATAGTTTGGGAATGTTTTTTAATGAATTTGAATTTGTAAAAGCATCATAATCATAATAAATTCAAGAAGAATTCTTAATGAGTTGACCCAGCCAAAAGCTGACTAGAAGATCATTTCACTGTGAAACAGTAGTGATAAATTTATTTTCATGCCTGCAGGTCTCAGTGGGAGCCGTCTCTATTTGACCTTTGTATACATATATGCCATTAATAAGTGTAAGTGAGCCCTCATGCTTTTATTAGTACTACTTATTTTTTTAGACTTTTAGGACCTGTCATCTAGTGGTTAGACCTACCAACTTTTTATTGCTCTAATTTATTCGTTGCATAATACAGTGTAATGACAGAGATTTTTCTCAAAGTTGAGGGTTCGAATTTTCAGAGATACGGATTTCATAAAATTGAAGTTTTTGAATTGAAATTGATGAAATTAAAAAATATTTTAGTTTAATTTTGTGAGTTGTTTTTCTCTAATTTTACCAATTTCAATTCCTACATCCCGATTCCATGTAGTAGTAGGGCACTCTTTAAAAAATTTCTTATCTAATGCATGTGAGATGGGAAAATTTCATGTTTGGTGGTGGATTATATGATATTTTGAGAGGCCTGACACCACCACTGTTTACCAAAAAAAAAAAAACCTTGCTTGCATGATTTTCAACTCTAAGGTGTGTTTGGCTGCATGGAATTGGAACTTTGAAATTGAAATTTGTAGAATTTGAGAAAACATGAAATTGAAATTTGAGAAAAACAATTAAGAAAATTGAACCCAAATTTTCTCAAATTTTATCAATTTCAATTCAAAACCTCCAATTTTATGCAGCCGAACATACCCTAATTTTATTCGAACAAGTAAAAGAAAGGAAACTTACAAAATAAAAATTATGAACTAAAGAAGAAGCCCTAAAAGGACTATGTTAATAAGATTATATAAATACATCAACGACTTAAATCTTCAAGATGGCCTTGGTTTACTTCATGTGAGAAGGCCTATTATATTAGTAGGGCTTTTATTAACTATTCATGCTGCAGAAACGATCCAATGGGCCTCATTCATCTGGACCCAATGGGCCTATTGGATTGGTAGGGCTTATGAAATAACCCCTTTTCCGATTTTTTTAGCTTCAAGAAAAGTGGACTCTTTTGATGGGGATCAAGAAGTAAAACATGGAATAAATTCATAATTTTAATGTGGTTTTTAAATGCCCTAATGTTTATATATCTTGTTTGTGTTGTTTCTTTGTTTCCAATAACACAAACAATTAAAGTTATTGTTTCCTCTTTAAACCAGTGTTATACTTAATTTGAACAAATGAGTTATGCCAAAGAAATATATTTAGAAGATTGAATAGAATTACTGCAATTTAGGAACAAAGATGACTGGTTGATGCTAAATTTGAGTTTGCTTCATCACTTTGCTTTGCTTTGTATCTTATCAAGACCCTGGATTCATAATTTTTTTTTATTTTTTTATTTTATTATTGAGGAATATGAGTAGTTACAAACGGCCAGTATCCTAGCAATACTAATCCTTTACTTTTCAAATGGAGGTAAGTTGTTTAATCAGATAGAGTATACCTGTCATAAATCAAATTTTGTGATCTAATTCGACAACTCCAATATGAAATTATGAATTGAAGATTATTTAATATGGAAACCTGTTCACTACTCAAAGATTGATAATAGATTAAGGACAAGACTTGCCTATTTAAATATATTAATTAAACAAATTGAAGGATAGTGATTTGGAATCCGGACAACTCTAACTTATTTATGTGGGTAGAGCATCATGATATGATTAATATGCCTAATGTCATGATGACATCAACCACTTATTCATATAAAATTAGTCGAATTGTTCGACTGTTGAATTCCTATTTAAAATCGAATATGAATTATGAACAATCTAACCCGATATGATATGGTTATGAAATGAATGTTCTAAGGCTTCAAATAGAAGTGAAACCCTATATTGTAAATATCTATGTAATGGAAAGTTCTAGAGACTTTGTGGGCATTTCCTCCTCATATTAGTATTACCTTTCCATTTTTGGCGCTTTTTTTTTATTTTTTTATTTTTCTTTCCCAAGTCCCACTTGGGAAGGGGAGAGAGATAGACCTTATCTAATTCTTCTTCTCCATTTGGCAGAAGGTTCTGGAATTTCTGGGGGTGCAGAAGTGATATGGAGGAGGTATGGCGTACGACTCACAAATATTTATAAAGAGTGGTTTTGGTTTAGGTAGTCCTATGGAATATGATTGGTGTTCACCTATGCCCTACTTATAATTGGGTGACATCGTTTGAAAATCACCACTAAATTAACTTGGTTGGTAGGGCATGGTGTAAAAGGTTGAACTATTTCTGACTTGACCCAAAATCAATTTGACTTTTATTGTAAAATGTTGTAGTTATGTACTTTTAATATTTTATTTTATTTTTTACTATAATTCGTATTCGATCTAATATGATATATGTAAGAAATATTTAAAAGTGATATTTTAATTTAATCAAATAAAATTAAAAGAAATACAGAAGAATCTAAAATTTTGACTGATCTCTAAATAAGTTTTGATCAAATAAAATAAAAAGAAAGAGAATCTAAAAATTTGACTAAATCGCCTAATGAATTTTGGTTCCAAATTTTAATGGTATAATGAAGAAAGAGAACTTATGACAAATGTCATAAGATCAAGCATACAGTAACATCCACTCATCAAAATTAGGATAAAATACAAAAAATTTCCCTGAACAATGGGGGTTTTGCAACTAATCCCTGAATTACAAGAAACCTCCCTCAACTATGATTTTGTTACAAAAAAAAAAACCCCTTATACTATTGATCTGTTGCATTCCGATAGGTGACTTGGTCGAAAATATTAAAAGACAAATTTACCCTTACTTAAAACTACCTCGTTTTGAGAGTTATACCTGATGTGGCAATTGATAATTTCATAAACTAATAAAAATGTGACACCAATGCAACAAATGAGACCATGGCAGCGAGGATGGCTGGGTCTGCAACGAAGAAGGCGCCGAGGTTTGGGGTTAACGTCAAGGTTGATCTCAACATGAAGACGACGATGATTCTAGTTTGGCGGCAAGGACGCGATGATGCTGGTTTTCGGCGTCGGAAAGAGAGCCCCTGGTTGGAATTCATAGCCTCTTGCTCATTCGACCATCTGGCTACTACCCAAATCAATCACCTAATCACCTATTTGGATCATTGTGATCACTCCAAAAAAGTGCATAAACACCCGCAAACTACCACCTCTATAATCAATCAAACAAACCAAATCTTACACCCAATCATAACCCCACAATCAACACCCCAATTCACAAAATCGAACCATGTAATCAACAATCCAGAACTGTAAATTCGCACTATTGCAGCAAACAAATATCCACCATCATCACAAATTAGTTACAAACATACTTGCAACAACACCACAGCCCTGCAAATCAAACCCAAACTCGGCAACGATGGCTGCGACCGAGACTCGCAAGACCCAACAAATCCCGCCGGAGATGAATCCCAACCGAAATCGGACTCAAACCATGGCACCGAAATTTAACCGCGACCCACAAACCCGCCGGATTTTGACACCCACTTCATCGGAGGAAAAAGAAAAATGATAATAACACCCACAATCGACAGCGCAGCAACCCACGGTCGGAGAATAACACAATTCCAGCACCGAACATGCAAGCGATGCAAAACAGCGACCAACAAACCGTGGCTAGAGAAAAATGCTACCCGCGACACCCGACAGACCCAATCAACAGTGGTCGGAGAAGAATCCCGAACCTAGTATCGCACCCCGTCGCGGGAATTGGACACCCACTGTATGGAAGAGAAAAACAGAAAGGTGGGGGATGTTGATGAAGAGATTGAGAGTGGAGATTGGGTTTAGGGGTTGATCGTGGATGGACCCTTAATCAGGGATGAGAAAGATGAAGTGGAATGGGAAAAGGAAAGATCAGTTCGTGAGTGGAATTCTTTTTTTTCCATTGAGGCAACGCTGGGAAAAAGATCAACAATATAAAAGTGTGTTTGGGAAGAAGATCAACGGTAAAAGAGTGTGTTTGGGGTTTATAAAAAGGGATATGAATTTAATAGTTAAAATAAGGGGCATTAGTGGCATTATGGTCATTAAAAATATTGTAGGTGTCATGTGACCATCATGTGATCACTTTAACGGCAAGATCCGACCGGAACAATGACGATTTTATTTTCTGATACAGCAAAGGCAAAACGACGTCTCTTGATGATCTTCTCACGCAGTTCAAACAACCGCTTGTCGCCGTGGCAAAATCAACAAATATTCTTTTGCCTTTTTCCACTTTTTTAATATCCTCCAATCAGAGTCCAACATAAGATATTTTTCTAACAATACCATCCCAACCCGCACTGAATGCGCGTGACACTTCACACTTCACACTTCACACTTCAATCAATATTTTGTCTCTCAGTACCCTTTACCTTCCACTTTCTCCTGAATCGCGTAACACCGCCCAGAACCGCCTCGGTGAATCACCACCACCAAACCCCTCTCTCTCCTCTTTCTTTCTCTCTCCAACATAACCAGAGACAGACTATGTCGGTCATAGCTCATAGATTTTGTATGAATGACAACGCTGGGCCTATCATCAGCAGCTGAATCGAGCATGGACGACGACGGCGGCTGCTCCACCGCCCGCCGCCACAACCACCGCCTCCAAACTCTAAGCAGAACCAAATCCTTTAACACCACCGTCACAACTACCACCGCCAAAGACGGCCACTTCCCCGGCGGCTTCTGTACGAACGGTGTCGACGAAGAAGAAGAAGCGGAAAACTTCGACGAAGGGGGCGCCGAGGTCTGGGGCACTTTCGCCGAGAGTTTTCGTCAAGTTCAGTCTATTTTGGATCGAAACCGTGTCTTGATTCAGCAAGTTAACGAGAACCACCAGTCCAAGGTTCACGGTAATATGGTAAAAAATGTTGCCCTAATTCAAGAGATTAACGGAAATATATCGAAAGTTGTCTCGCTCTACTCGGATCTTTCTACCAATTTCTCCGGTTTGTTCCGTCAACGAAACCCTTCGGTTGATCCAAAGAACAGTGACGCCAAAGATGATGATGATTCGCAGCCTCCAATCAATCGAATCCAGTAATTTCAATCCCCTCTGTGTTTGTTTATTTCAATTGACCATTTTGTTAGCTGTGATGTCCTTAATTGTGTCCTTGAATAAAATGAAGATTAGGTGTTTGAATTAAATGTTGTAGTGAGTCTATCTGAATAATTGTTCTTGGTGGTGTAAATGAACTGTTGTGATGCTTATCAGTTGTGTTTGTTATGCTTTGTGTTATATAAGAGGATGACTGCAGCGCAGCTTATCTTCCTTTTCAACTAGCAGACTTAATAAGGTATTTATCTTCTGAAATTTGTTTATTTGTCCTGTATTTTATTCTCAATTTGTGTAATGCTTGGTGTAATCATTCTTTAATTGGAGTGATGAACTTTGGCTTGTGGATTACATATGTATTAGTGTGTCCTGACAAAGTGAATCAAAAGAGAGGATTACATTTTCCAATTTTTATAACAAAGCGTAACCTTGACCATCTTAATTTTTGCATATTTGAAGTGGGTTAAAAGTTTAAAGTAGTGAGCTTGCTTTACTTAGATTATTTTCCAAATTCCTCAAGTATGCTCATTCATCTCCATGGAACTTTCACTGCCAAAAACAGTTGCATGAAGTGAGAGATTGCAGAGGCTTGAATCACTCGGTCCAAGTACTCTTGATCTCCCTTCTACCCATATGACCTTAACATTCTCAATCAGAAATCCAGCATGTGATTGTAGTCTCAAGCCTGTCACTGAATGCCAGCTGAGCCCCGGAGTAAACATAAGCGGTTTAATGTTCCAGTGATCCATTTGAGATTTTTTTTTTTTGTTCTAGTCCTGGTCGGTCGTCTTGCTACTTGTCTTGGCAAAGAACCATGATGTTTTTGTGTTGGTGTTGTGTTTTGTATTACAAGGGGAATGCTAGAGGATTGATCATGTTCCTGTTCATCTTGCAGACTTGTTGAGGTATTTATACTCTGTTTGCTTTATGCTGTTTCCTGGATTGTTCATGCTGGATAAAAGATCCGCTTACAAAAATAGTGGGCTTTTTTTGGCTTCATACTTGATGTCACAGTTAAACTAACTACTAATAAGATTTTCTAGAGGGAACAAGGCTAGGTTTGTTGTTTAAAATGACTTGTTGGTAGATAGTTTTAGGCTATTGGTTCTTTTATAGCATTAACTATAAATGTGAGGCTGGTGTTTTTGTTACAATCTATTGAGTCATGAAGGTTAAAGGGTCTGTAATTCGGTAGATTGTAAAGGTTTGGTTCTGCAATTAAGACAAGGCTTGCTTAACATTATGCAAAAAATATTTTTTTGTAATTTGATTCTTTAAATAATGTAGATTTTACACATATAAGCAGGCATCTTTTAGTTTCTATTTTGCTCACATCTATTTCTCCTCTCATTATCTGGAAATAATTGTACTGGCAAACTGAACCAGTGAACCATGTGAACAATGTGACATTTTCTTTTTTGCTCACATCTATTTCTCCTCTCATTATCTGGAAATAATTGTACTAGCAAACTGAACCAGTGAACAATGTGACATTTTCCTTTTCCTTGTAATCATAGATGTATTATTTGCCCTTGGTCTTGCCAACCCAACCCCAAACCCCTTGGAAAAAAAATTAAAATAGAAAAAAGAGAGAACAACGACAGCAGTAAATACTTTACATCCATAAATTTGTACATTATTTTATCTATTGAAGGAAAGTTACATGAAACTATATCATTAAAACTCAATAGTTTCAGACTTTCAGTTGATTCTGTTTATAGCTTGTTGAACCTTGTAATATGTTACTGTCATAAGGATTTTGAGATGGATATTTAAAGGTTGGAGAAAAGTTGAATACGAGTGTATTTGGAAAATTGTAAGTGCCCCTTGCAGCTGATAAAATAGAAGATTTATGTTTTAGACAATTTGCATATATAGAAACTAAGGCTCCTAACAAACTCTTAAATATGAAAAAAAAATTCTTGTATTGGAGGTTCTATGAGGAGAGGAAGGTTGGGAAGGACATGGCTGGAGGTTGTGAAAAAATCTAAATTATCATGCTTCAGTTAAAGAAGTTACCGTTGCTACAGATTTTGCATTAGTGATCCAAGATTCAGGACGAGATTGCAATATGATATATATTAAGAGGTTTTTTGAAGTCATCTTAACCTTTCCTTTACAGCCATTCTTTGATGTACTGCTTTATTGTATCATTTCTGTAAAATATGATCAATTCTCATTTCAGAAGTTGTTGAAACTCTTTTACTCCATATGCTTGTGGTCACAATCAGATCAGATTGGCTTGGTGAAGAAACCATGAACTCTACGTTGCATTGCATCTTTTGCACTTTTATGAACTTCAAATTTTCATATGGCATTATGTATATTTCTGGCTCTCAAATGTAATTTGCTTAAACATTCACAAAATGAAATTTAGATTTAGAGTTACATCTGTGTCCTGGATGGTAACCAAATTATTTTCTGATGACGATCTTTGAAGTTAATATGCTAAGTTCATGGAATCACTTTGTGAAACTGATCTTGGTCCCTTCCCAACTCTCAAGGCCAGATAACTCCATGTAGAATGCTAATTTTTTGGTGTCCTGTTTTATTTATTTCCATGAGTGGCTGGACTCGCTTAATTACTGGCTACTTGTTACAATTATAATGAAGAATTGTGATGTATTGGTGTCTGGGCAGCATTAATTCTCGTGGGATACAGAAATCAAACTCTTCATTTACCTAAACATCATCTAGGCTTAATACCCTCCACCCTGCTCATGAACCCTGGTAAATTCACCTCCATGTATCATACAAAACTAATAAGCCCGGGAATTATTTTTATATCTTGTAGAATATGCAGCCTTTGTATTGGGGAGGGGAGGGTTCTCACCGACTTGGATCCTCTCCGACGCTGAAGATATGATACGAGCAAATTTATATGCTACAATCGGAGGGTTTCTCATGTGCAATCTTATTTTTGAATGATGCAATCTCCACTTTTAGTGGATTACTGGACCCTCCCAGTGCAGCAAGGATTATTACATATTAACATAACTGTTACTTTATGAGGAATGTCATATTGTCATGCCCTGCAATTAACCGGGAAAAAAAAAAAATTTGTCTTAGCAATTCAAATTGGAGCTAATGTGTTTTGTCACATATTAACTAATAAATATATAAAGATGATCCTCTACAACATATAATTTTGTGATTTGTGTTTTCATTTACCGTGGCCTATCATGATTTGGGTATTTATCATGTCCGGAGTGAAGCTAGGATATTCCAAACTAATTCCTTTGAAAAAAATCCATACATTCACCATCTCTGGAATATATATCAGTGAAAAATAAAAAATAAAAATAATAATAACTTCGCTTCTGAATGGATACTCCAAAAAATAATAATAATAAAATAAAATCCGGACTCGGGTTCAACCCAACCCAATTGTAGCCTTTTCTACCCGTTAACCAATTTGTTATGACAGAACGGAAGTGGACACAGGGAGTGCATCATTAGTAAAGAAAATGGCGGGAAAGTAAAGACCAAATATCCAACGGCCAAATGAAGGGAAAAAAAATCATGAAGAAAAAAAAAAAAAGCGGTTAACGATATGGTAAATGATAAGAGGGATGTGAAAAGACACGTCCAACGATTCACCTTCAAAATCTCCTTCAATTTAGGCTCTCCCTCTGTCCAACAGTTGGTTCTTTTCGATCTCATGTCTCCACATTTTTATCTTCAGATGTTTCTCTCTCATCCCTTTCCTTCCGATCCTCCTCCCAACCCTAAATCAAACTACTTTCACAATGATTTCAACAATCAACCTACCCATTTCCCTGAATCCCAGTTAGTTGAACCCCTGCATACAATTATATATATACATATATATATATAATTGGTGAAACAGTTTAAGAATTGGTGAAAATGGAGGGGTTCAAGGTGTTTGGGTTCAACCGGAAATTTAAGATAACCGAGGTGGAGCCACCCCCGGACGTGAAAGCGGCGTTCATGAAGTACACCGATAAGGGGTCTCACATGTCGGTCTATCAGCTGCACCAGTTTCTGGTCGAGTATCAGGGAGAGGAAGTGTGCACCCTCTCTGAGGCGGAACGAGTTATCCAGCAGGTTCACCATCTGCGAAAGACCTCCCCCTCAAAGAAAAAGGACACTCGAAAGGATACCTCCTCCTCAAAGTCAAAGGACACTCCAAAAGGTCTCACCCTCGACGATTTCTTCCATTTTCTTTCCTCCGACGAACTAAATGGCCCTGTTACAACTCAGGTTCTCTCCATTCGTTAACATGTAATTTTAGGTGAATGAAGGAATTCAAGGAAATGACATTATTTGATTTTATGAAATAATTGCGGGAATTTATTTACTTGATGAAAAAACAAAGGAGGATTGCTTCAAGTAGTTGTGAACCGGGATCCCTATGAGCATGGATTATGTGAATATGGTGAAACAGGATTGGTGTAGGCATTCCAAATAGTTAGTATAACGCTTAGTTCAATTGAATCACATAACTGGATGAAATTTGAGCAACTAAATCATCTTTTAGTTAACTTGTAACTTTCAAGCACTACTTTTTGCTTTTTGAAGTAACAATTCCATAGATTATTGTTTTTATAGGAAAAAATGTACCCTGAATGCTAATACCGTAGCCTCAGACATTGAACCCATAGAAGTAAAAACACACACACACACAAAAAGGGAAAAATAAAAAAAAAGAAAAAGGATGATGACTACTGATTGTAAGTAGTATATACATGGTGTAAATTTGTTACCTTGGCAAGAAGCACACTCACTTGCCCCAATGGGAACTTGAACGACAGATATTCTATTTTAGAAGAAGAGGAAGTACAATTAGGCTACAACAACCTCTGTTGATTTATGCCTTTTTCACATTATCCGAATTGTTAGTTGTTTACAATTACGGAATTTTTGCTAATAGAACAGTGTGGGTGCAAAAGACATCACTCTGTTTATTATTTTCTCAATGAATTTTTGTTGCAATAAATGTATAAAGAAGAACAATCTTAGTCTATATAATTGTTGGATGAGAGGCTAAGCATTTGATTGGGTGCTCTAGTGCATCTCTCTCTAGCATAGATTGCTGGCCTACTACGTTACTGTTTCTTTTGACTGCCAAAACAAATTGTAGTTTGTTGACGATGTAAGGTTTTAACGAAAAGAGGGAAAACATAATTACACTGCTTTCACAATATATAACAAAATGGGGATTGGAATGTTTTAAGAAGTTCTTTTTTATTTTTTTATTTTTTTTTCATTCATGAAGCTCGTTGTGGTTGTAACATTTAGATACTTGTAGGGTATTTGGAATGTTACCATTGTTTTAGAGAATGAGACTTGTTCCATGCTCTTTCACATTTCATGTTCCTGTTGTTTATTTGTAATCATGCCTATTTTGGAAAATAACTCAGTAACTAATGAAGCTATATGCTACATTTTTATGCATTTGGACCCCCTTTATATCTAAGTTCAAGTTCATGCAAGTAGTTTTCTTCTCTCTCTCTCTCTGATTCATATGGAAGTTCCATAACAATTCAGGTAGAGAAAATTCTCCTACTTTCCCTTACACACAATGACATTTCAGGTGCACCATGATATGACTGCTCCAGTGCAACATTATTTCATATATACGGGTCACAATTCCTACTTAACAGGGAACCAACTGAGCAGTGATTCCAGTGACTTACCTATCATACAGGCTTTGCATAGAGGCGTCAGGGTAATAGAACTAGATCTCTGGCCTAATTCTGCGAAAGATGATATTCATGTTCTTCATGGAAGGTATGAACTCCTACCGTTTATTTTTCCACAAGGTAGTTTTCTTCATTAGTCTCCATGTGTTTGTTGCTGTGTTATAAGAAACTAATGTTTACCTTAGTTATGAATGGGAATGACTTGAAAAATAAACATCATTTCAAGCGGTTTTTCTGTTTTTGTTGAGGAAAGAAAAGTTGGCTTCAATTGTAATATGTGCCATCTTTTATGTCACTTGTTGCTTGTTCATTCATGAGATGCATGTCATAGCAGCAATATAGATGACATTACGATTTACACTAAAGGTCATTTTTCTACTGTAACTTTATTGAAGAATTGATTAGGTAATCTTGAATTGATTTTGCTTGGTCTGTCTAGTATTTGGCTACGTATATTAGATCACTGAACCGGCCTCACATATGACAGTGCTTTCTGCCTCAGGTTCATCTAAAGAAAATATGCTCTATGCTATGAAAACTCTTGTTTTGTGGACCTTGCGAGTTCTCCCTGTTTTCTTAATATAGTTTTTTTCTTTTTTCTTTTTCTTTTTTGTGAGTTAAAATATCTATAATTTGTAGTTTTCAATATGAATCCACATAAAAATTTGATTATTCATGTAACGATCCCAAAACTGATACTTTTTAAACAAAAAAAAATTCGGCATGACCTCCCCTAAAAATAGGCCTATCACAACCTGTTTAAATTCATTTTTAACCTATCATGGCTCAAATTCCGAATTCACGGCAATAGTAGATGATAATACACAATCAAATGACCTCAATAATACTTCAAACTAGTATTACTCTCCCCATTCATCAATAAGGTTTACATGTTGTCAAATTCACATCCAAAATATCATCTAGTAACATAATTATATTACCTAACCATGGTTTTGAAAAATAAATACACATTACTACACTTTTGGGGCCTTACAAAAATGGGAGATATACAAAAGATACAAAATGAGCTCCAAGTCATCCTTAAGCTTGTGGAAGATCGGCATCCACTACTTCCTTACCGGTTCCTGGAAAATGTTAAATAAAATGGGGTAAGCATAAAGCTCAGTAGAGAGTGCCTAAGACGCACCTCTTGTAGCCCCGTGAATCCAAACAAAGCATAGGCCAATAGGAAGAGGGGTCATGCAAAATGAGAGAACACATATTAAATTCCAATTCCAAACAATCATATGTAAAATGCCATGAATGCTATGATATGCTTGTCACTCCCCATTTCTCAGAAAACAACCATACTTTTCAAACTGTTAATATAACCCACCCTTTGGTGACCCCGCAGCGACACGAGAGGAGGATTGGCTAGTGTCCCTGACCCTTGGTAACCCCGCGGCGTCATTATGGGGCCCAGCTAGCTCAACCACGCTAGGGCGACTCCCTAGTCCCCTCTAGGCTATATTAACCTCCGGTCCTTTGGTACCCCCGCGGCGACCGGGTTTCTCAAAAAAAAACTTTTTCAATAAAGCTTTCCCGAAAATCCCCATTCTTTCATTTTTCAAAAGTCATTTCCATACGTGCAATCCCCAATGATGAATTCATGAATGCCACATACTTTCAATGTTGTAATATAAGGGATTTTTAACATTTGTCATGCCGTGACAATATCATAAAATGGGGAATTTAATACCACAATTTACCACACATGCTCACAACAATCAACTAAATATTTAGCATTATAATAAGCATGATAAATCAACCATTTATCACAATTTCCATACAATCTAACAAATACACATAGATACATGTTTCACATACACAATTAAATCATTTAAGGAGTAATACATCTAAACTAAGCATGCTTATCACATAAGTCAACAAACACACATATATAAAATCTTTATATGCACCATTAAATCATTTTTAAAGCAATCAACCTTAAATCAAGCATGTTTGGCCAAAATTCTAGAAGAATAACTCATTAAGGTACAAGAAAAGTATGAATTAGACACCTTTACCTCTAATTGAGCAAAAACCCTAATTTTCTTCACAAACCTTAGAAATGGGTCCTAAGATTCGAACTCCAAGGAGTGCACTAAATCTTAAATCGCTTGTATGGATGTGTAGAGCTTGACACGAGCTTCGTTTTGCCTCAAACGGCACTCAATTTCGATAAGAAATGAGATCAAGATCTTGCTTCAAAGTTTTGGAAATCAAAACGAAAAGAAAAACAGAGAGGAAGAGGGGAAGAGAGAGGCGCACGGGAGAGAAGGAGAGAAATGAGACCATTTGTGGTCTCTTGGCCCTTAGTTGGTTTAATGGTAGGTCCCACCACCTTTTATTTTCTTTTTCCTTTAACTTTTTGCTTAAATTTGAGCCATAACACAACATAATACACATATACATACACACAATTATATATACACCTATGCACATAAATACACAGACATTACATTATCCCCAACTTAAAAGGATTTCGTCCCCGAAATCAAGACATACCTGAGGAAGAAAACAACGCTGGGTACTTGGAGCGAACCTCCTGTTCAAGCTCCCAAGTAGCCTCCTCGACTCCGTGGTGTCTCCAAAGGACTTTCACCATTGGTATTGTCTTGTTCCTCAACACCTTCTGCTGAGTGTCAAGGATCTGAACAGGTCCTTCCTCGTAGGAAACATCCTCATCAATATCCACATCAACCCAACTCAAAATGTGAGATAGATCCGGTTCGTACTTCTGTAACATCGATACATGGAAAATATTGTGGACCCTATCCAACTGTGGTGGCAAAGCAAGCCTGTAAGCAACCTCTCCTACCCGATCCAAAATCTCGAATGGTCCAATAACTCGTGGCGATAACTTGCCACTCTTCCCAAATCTCATCAATCCCTTCCGTGGAGAAACCCGTAGAAAAACGTGGTCTCCCACCTTAAAGGATAACGGTCGTCTCCGCTTATCCGCAAAGCTCTTCTGTTGGCTCTGAGCTGTAAGTAACCTCTGTCTTATCAACTTAATCTTCTCAGTGGTCTCGAGTACAATGTCGGGTCCTAAGGCGGCTGTCTCACCTACCTCAGTCCAACAAACAGGAGACCTACAAGGTCTACCATACAACGCCTCAAATGGAGCCATCTGGATGCTCGCCTGATAACTGTTGTTGTAGGCAAACTCAATAAGTGGAAGGTGATCCTCCCAACTACCTCTCAAATCAAGTACACATGCCCGAAGCATATCCTCCAAAATCTGGATAGCACGCTCTGACTGACCGTCTGTCTGTGGATGGAATGCCGTACTAAGATGCAACGCTGAACCAAACGCTGCTTGAAGTCCTTCCCAGAATTTCGAAGTGAACTTAGCATCCCTATCTGACACAATGGTTACAGGAACTCCATGCAACCTTACAATCTCCTTCACATAAAGAACTCCAAGCTTCTCTGCATCATCTGTTGCCTTAATAGGCAAAAAGTGAGCCGTCTTGGTCTATCTGTTAATGATGACCCATACGGCCTCATTACCCCTCCTTGACCTTGGAAAACCTGTCACAAAATCCATAGCAATATGCTCCAATTTCCATTGCGCTACAGGTAATGGTTGCAACAAACCTGCTGGCCTCTGATGCTTGGCCTTCACCTGCTGACAGGTAAGGCATCTAGCCACAAACTGTGCAACATCATTCTTCATCCCGCTCCACCAATACTGACGTCTCAAATTGTGATACATTTTAGTACCACCTGGATGAACTGCAAAGCGGGAAGTGTGAAACTCCCGTAGGACGTCCTCACGACAACATATGGGAACCACCAACAAACCCCTGAACCGTAGACCCCCATCTGCATACAAGGCCTAATCTTTCATTGTCTCACCACTAGAGATCAAAGCGTGGATGACATCTAAGTCCGGGTCCTGTCTCTGTGACTCAATCACTCGTACAACAAGAGTAGGCTGAGCCACAAGACTAAATAAGAATGCCGACTCACTGCAAGCATCATCATCACAACACTGTAATCCCATCTCTGCCAGATCTTTAAGCATCTTCCACTTCCGAATAGCTAAACTGGCCAAAGTTCCACGAGATTTTCGGCTTAAGGCATCCGCTACCACATTCGTCTTGCCCGGATGATACTGTAAGTCAAAATTGTAGTCCTCCAAGAATTCGACCCATCGCCTCTGTCTGTTGTTCAAGTCCTTTTGGGAGAAAAGGTACTTGAGACTTTTGTGATCTGAAAATACTTCGAATCTCTCACCATACAAATAGTGTCTCCAACACTTCAAGGCAAACACAACTGTCGCTAACTCCAGATCATGAGTAGGGTAGTTAAGCTCGCGAGTCTTCAACTGTCGAGACCCATAAGCCACTACTCTACCATCCTGCATCAACACACACCCCAAACCATCACGTGAAGCATCACAATAGATCACATAACCCAAGCCACGCTCAGGTATCACCAACACTGGAGCTGTAGTCAATCTCATCTTCAACTCCTAAAAAGATGAATCACAGGCCTCATTCCAGACAAACTTGACCCCTTTCCGGGTCAAACGGGTCATAGGAGCTGCCAAACGGGAGAAATCCTTCACAAATCTCCGATAGTAACCCGCTAAACCAAGGAAACTGCGGATCTCAAACACATTCTTGGGTTGCTCCCAAGTCAAAACTGCTTCAACCTTTGATGGATCAACTGATACTCCACCTTCTGAAACAACATGCCCCAAAAACTTCACCTCCTGTAGCCAAAACTCACATTTTTCGTATTTGGCATACAATCGGTGCTCCCGCAAAATCTGTAAAACAATACTCAAATGGACCTCGTGATCTTCCCGAGTCCGTGAGTACACAAGAATGTCATCCACGAAAACAACCACAAACTAGTCCAAGTAATCGTGAAAGACGCGGTTCATCAAGTCCATGAATGCCGCTGGCGCATTAGTCAAGCCAAAAGGCATAACAAGGAACTCATAGTGTCCATACTGTGTACGGAATGCTGTCTTCGGGATATCTTCATCCCTAACCCGCAATTGATAATAGCCAGACCTCAAGTCAATCTTCGAGAAACAACTGGCTCCCCTCAACTGATCAAATAAATCATCTATCCTTGGCAAAGGATACTTGTTCTTGATGGTGGCATGATTCAACTTCCGATAATCAATGCACAACCTCAACGAACCATCTTTCTTCTTAGCAAACAAGACCGATGCGCCCCACGGTGACACACTCGGTCGGATGAAACCTTTCATCCTCAAATCATCAAGCTGCCTCTTCAATTCTTCCAATTCAACTGGTGCCATACGATACGGTGCCATAGAAATCGGCGCAGTACCATGCATCAAATCAATAGTGAACTCCACTTCTCGGTGTGGAGGCAACTCTGTCAAATCTTCTGGAAAAACATCCAAGAAGTCACAAACAATCGCCGGATAAACTTCTCCCACGACATCATCTTCTTCGGCTAGAAGACTAGCTAAGAAATAATCACCATGACTTCGTCCACGAACTCCATAAAACGATGAAATGTGGGAATCACTTCGATCTCCCACGAAAAAGAAACAGTCTCCCTCGGGAGTGCAAACTGTAACCCTTCCTCTGTAACAGTCGATTGTGGTATGAAATGAAGCCAACCAATCCATCCCGAGAATGACATCAAAGCTAGTCATCTCTAGGAGGATAAGGTCAAACACAAAGGTCCGCCCGGCTATCACAATGGAGCAATCCCGCACAACTCGGCTCAATGACACTGAAATCCCAACTGGCGTATCAACACATAACGCCTGATCCATGAAACTAACCTCTAACCTCGATGCAAGTGCAAATCATGATGAAATGAAAGAATGAGATACACCAGAGTCAAACAAAACATGGGCCCAACAACCAAACACTGGAAATATACCTCGAAGAACTGACGGTCCAGAAGATGCATCGGTCTGTGCCAGTGCAAAAACACGTCCCTGTGGTACCTGTGCCTGAGGACTGCCAACCTGAACACCTGACTGCTGCATTGACATAGTAGGAGTATCCCTCCTAACTGATCGTGAACCCTGTGAAGACATAGTAGGCTGTGGTAGTGGTGGTCTAAAACCTGACTGAACTGTAGCCGATTGTGACGGCCTCTGCTGTGACCCTCTGCCACTAATGGTGCCTGCTCTCTGACTCGGACAATCACGAATCAAGTGACCCTGCTGGCCACACCCATAACAAGCCTTCGGAGCTGATGAAACTGAAGTCAATCTCATAGGACAACTGGACTTGTAATGCCCAGGCTGCTGACATTGAAAGCAAACAACTGCACTCCTATCAGACCCAGCTGGCAACGGAGTGGTAGGAGCAGATCGTGCAGACTGCTGTCCCTGAAACTGAGATGGACCGCCCCTGTTCCTTTTCCAAGAAGATCCTTCTGAAGATGGCCCTGCACCCCTCTTTTGCTTCAACTGCTCTCTTCTTGCATCCTTCTCTTTATTATCAGCTTCCAGCATCAAAGCCCTTTCCACTGCTTCAGAGTAAACCTTAATGAACTGTGCTGTGATCAACGGCCTCATCCGATCATTAAGACCCGAGACAAACTTCCGAGTCTTGTTAGCTTCATCTCTCACCACTTCTGGAGCAAAACGGGAAAGTGAGGTGAACTTGTTCTCATACTCCGCCACTGACATGTTCCCTTGAATAAGATTATGAAACTGGTCTTGTAACTACCATCTTTTGGAAAGTGGAAAATACTTCTCATAAAACAGCTCCTTGAACCTGCCCCAACTCATCTTTTCAATCTTGTATTGGTTGGTGACTGACTTCCACCAAACCTTAGCATCCTTAGCAAACTTATACGTAGCTAGGATGATCTTTAGATGATCCTCTGTCACATCCATTGAAGTTAGTTGGGTTTCAACTTTATCCAAGTAGTCATCTGCTACCATTAGATCCGCACTGCCCTCAAACATAACCGGCATCAGCTGAGAAAACCCCTTAATGATCTTGAGACGCTTCTGAGCTGGAGTCTCCTCAACTTGAATTGTAGGTTATGGTACCAACTGCGGCTGAGCAACAATAGTTGCTCTCACGACATTTTGCAACAAACGATTAAACTCCAGTGCCACAGAACCTTCACCCACTTCTACGGGTACGGGTGTTTCAACATTCTCTCTTCTTGGGGGAACAGCTCTTGGGGGAATTAAGTCCCTAAGAAGCATGTTCTCATCAACTGGCTTCGCCGGATTGGAGCTAGAGCTCTCACCAACATCGCCCCTTATTGGCCTAGGGCCAACTTCTCTAGGTTCCTCACGCCGTGACATCGTGCTATAAAATGAGAAAACGATTCAGAAACATGACACTAAGGTCCACTGTGGACGACTCAACAAGAATTAATACCGTACAACACTTAGCATGCAAGACTATGTAAGAAACATTTTAACATAAACAAGTAAGCAAGTAAGCACATAGGCAGTTAAGCATGCTCATTTAAAAAAGATACCACGTAGCAAGTAGTCAAGTAAACAATACAAACAACATCCCATGCGACTCTATGTAGGCCTCTACCCGTCGTCCTAAAGGTTTTCGAACCTTTGCTCTGATACCAAATTTGTAACGATCCCAAAACTGATACTTTTTAAACAAAAAAAAATTCGGCATGACCTCCCTTAAAAATAGGCCTATCACAACCTGTTTAAATTCATTTTTACCCTATCATGGTTCAAATTCCGAATTCACGGCAATAGTAGATGATAATACACAATCAAATGACCTCAATAATACTTCAAACTAGTATTACTCTCCCCATTCATCAATAAGGTTTACATGTTATCAAATTCACATCCAAAATATCATCTAGTAACATAATTATATTACCTAACCATGGTTTTGAAAAATAAATACACATTACTACACTTTTGGGGCCTTACAAAAATGGGAGATATACAAAAGATACAAAATGAGCTCCAAGTCATCCTTAAGCTTGTGGAAGATCGGCATCCACTACCTCCTTACCGGTTCCTGGAAAATGTTAAATAAAATGGGGTGAGCATAAAGCTCAGTAGAGAGTGCCTAAGACGCACCTCTTGTAGCCCCATGAATCCAAACAAAGCATAGGCCAATAGGAAGAGGGGTCATGCAAAATGAGGGAAACACATATTAAATTCCAATTCCAAACAATCATATGTAAAATGCCATGAATGCTATGATATGCGTGTCATTCCCCATTTCTCAGAAAACAACCATACTTTTCAAACTGTTAATATAACCCGCCCTTTGGTGACCCCGCAGCGACACGAGAGGAGGATTGGCTAGTGTCCCTGACCCTTGGTAACCTCACGGCGTCATTATGGGGCCCAGCTAGCTCAACCACGCTAGGGCGACTCCCCAGTCCCCTCTAGACTATATTAACCTCTGGCCCTTTGGTACCCCCGCGGCGACCGGGTTTCTCAAAAAAAAACTTTTTCAACAAAGCTTTCCCGAAAATCCCCATTCTTTCATTTTTCAAAAGTCATTTCCATACGTGCAATCCCCAATGATGAATTCATGAATGCCACATACTTTCAATGTTGTAATATAAGGGATTTTTAACATTTGTCATGCCGTGACAATATCATAAAATGGGGAATTTAATACCACAATTTACCACATGCTCACAACAATCAACTAAATATTTAGCATTATAATAAGCATGATAAATCAACCATTTATCACAATTTCCATACAATCCAACAAATACACATAGATACATGTTTCACATACACAATTAAATCATTTAAGGAGTAATCCATCTAAACTAAGCATGCTTATCACATAAGTCAACAAACACACATATATAAAATCTTTATATGCACCATTAAATCATTTTTAAAGCAATCAACCTTAAATCAAGCATGTTTGGCCAAAATTCTAGAGGAATAACTCACTAAGGTACAAGAAAAGTGTGAATTAGACACCTTTACCTCTAATTGAGCAAAAACCCCAATTTTCTTCACAAACCCTAGAAATGGGTCCTAAGATTCGAACTCCAAGGAGTGCACTAAATCTTAAATCGCTTGTATGGATGTGTAGAGCTTGACACGAGCTTCGTTTTGCCTCAAACGGCACTCAATTTCGATAAGAAATGAGATCAAGATCTTGCTTCAAAGTTTTGGAAATCAAAATGAAAAGAAAAACAGAGAGGAAGAGGGGAAGAGAGAGGCGCACGGGAGAGAAGGAGAGAAATGAGACCATTTGTGGTCTCTTGGCCCTTAGTTGGTTTAATGGTAGGTCCCACCACCTTTTATTTTCTTTTTCCTTTAACTTTTTGCTTAAATTTGAGCCATAACACAACATAATACACATATACATACACACAATTATATATACACCTATGCACATAAATACACAGACATTACAATTCATTCTTGTTCACATTTTATACAAACTGCAGGACCCTGACAACTCCTGTTTCTCTCATCAAATGCTTGAAGTCCATTAAAGAGCATGCTTTTGATCAATCTCCATACCCTGTCATTATAACTTTAGAAGACCACCTTACACCAGACCTTCAGGCAAAAGTTGCAGAGGTTAGTTGTCATTGTCTATCCCAATTTAGAATTTAAAAGAAAATGTTTTGATTTCAATTTCTTCCTAATAAGCAACACAAAATCTCCTCTAGATGGCCATTCAAACCTTCGGGAAAATGTTGTATTACCCTGAGTTAGGCTGCTCAGAAGAATTCCCTTCACCAGAAGCCTTAAAGCATCGGATTATTCTTTCAACCAAACCACCAAAAGAGTACCTGGAATCTAAGAATCCTAAGGACCTGGGAAATACCTCAACATTGCATCGGAGGGATTCATCTGAAGAAGAAGCAAGGAGGGAATCACTAGACCTTAAAGCTGAATTGGAAGACAGCAATCAGTTTGATGATGAAAGTGACATCTATGATCGAAAATCATTCCAGGCAGGAGCTCCTCAATACAAGCACCTGATTGCAATCCATGCTGGTAAACCAAAGGACGGGTTGAAGGGGGCACTAAAAATTGAAATCGGTAAGATTAGACGTCTTAGTCTGAGTGAGCAAGCACTTGAAAAGGCTGCAGCTTCTTTTGGAACTGACCTTTTGAGGTATCAATTCTAGTTCTATGCACTGCAACCTGCAACTTTCAAGTGTTTACGATTTTTGTTGAAGGACTGATTCTGATTTTAACTTTCCATTTCCTTTTTCTAGGTTCACGCAGAAGAATATTCTGAGGATATACCCAAAGGGAACTCGAGTCACCTCCTCAAACTATAATCCACTTACTGCGTGGATACATGGAGCTCAGATGGTAGCATTTAATATGCAGGTTAGTTTTGAAGATCTGGTGTCTTTATAGAATCTTATCTTTATTACCTTAAGGCGAATTTTATTAATACTAATATTTTGTTTCTTCCTCGATTTTTCTTTGTGCGGTTTGATTAGTTAAAACTAGGCCAAACATTTTACGGGCTCTGTCTTCTATTTTGGAATAAATAATTTATGTACTCTGTAGTGAACCTGAGTTGCATGTCATGGTTGTGTATGTTTACTTGTAGTCATGTACAGATCTCTGTTTTTATACGTGATTGCATATAGTTAGATTACTGGCAATAACACCTACAATCTTGATTCTAAAATGTTTTGATAATGTTTCGAAAAACTTCTACTCAGTAAATGCATCAGAGATTAGCTATTGAAAGGTATTACATCTTTTCTTTTGGTATAAGCAGGTTTCATACTTGACACCAAGTAGTCGAGAAAAGCCTTGTTGAGTTGAGTATAAACAAGTATGACTGTTTCATTTATTACTGTTCCTTCACTCCACAATTAGTTCCTTAAAGCTGCCAGAAATGTCATTTTCCTTCATCAAGAATAACCTGAAGAAGGAATATGTGGAAAGATATGTGTTTCATGCCTTACTTTGACCTATTTCAGCACACTATTGTTGGAGGTAAGAAGCAGTTGCTCTTTAGACAGATAAGAAGGGATGTCCAGATTCAAAATCAAAATCATAACTTAGTGACTTTATTTGAAATTTGTTAAGTGTGCAGAGGGAGGGATGCACTCAGTGCTTGTATTTAAACTGCAACATGTGCTTTTAATGCTGGCCACCCTTTCCGATTGCATTCATATTTGGTGAATTGTTTCCGGTACTTACCTAATAGCATGCCTGAGAGAGTACAAACCCCCAACCCCAGCTCCTATCCTGAAAGAAAACTATAGCACCACCGAAAGATAATAATTTTTATCTAATATTCTTTGTTCCCATGGAACAATTGTTTATTCTGAAAAAAATTATTAGTTTCATGGAAGGATTGTTTCTTTTGACAAAATTAAAATAGCTGCTGATAAGTGATAATGTTACATTTTTACACGTAGATATCAGGTTTAGAAAGGGTTACTTCAACTCTGAAGGCGTACCCTTTTGTTAAACCAGAAGGATATTTATTTTATTTTATTTATTTGAGTGACAGGGACGTGGCAAATCACTCTGGTTGATGCATGGGATGTTTAGAGCCAACGGAGGTTGTGGTTACGTGAAGAAACCCGATTTTCTCATGAACACAGGTCCAAATGATGACATATTATTTGATCCTAAAGCAGCTTTGCCAGTGAAGGAAACTTTAAAGGTGAGTGAGTAGACATAGTTTCACTTTGAATTTCATTTGCCTGAGACATTATATATAGAACATTCAATTCTACTTAACAGGTGAGAGTATTCATGGGGGACGGATGGCGTTTGGATTTTAGCCAGACACATTTCGACACATTCTCACCACCAGACTTCTACACAAAGGTTAGTTCGAATAAATTGGCATGCTGGTCTTTATTTATGTATTATATGTGGCTAAAAGTTAATGTTCTGTTCAAGAGATGTAATCTTTTGCTATGAAATTCGGAATTGCTCCCTTACTCGACGACGTCTTGCTATATTTGTGTGTCGACAAATGTTAACAGCATTTGATTTAAAGTATGTGCAGGATGATTAATGGAGGAGGTTATTGATTGATAAATAAAGCATTTGTGGGGTTCATGAATTCTGCACATGCTATAAAATTCTGTTTGTTTCTTCAATAACAATCACGAGGAAAAACGAATATTTCAAACAGTTCAAAAATTTCTGTGGAATGCTTGTGGTAGTTGTACCGATAGGATTCACAATCAAATGCTTTGATCATATATTAAAATATGTTTCTACTTGTAAACAATTCGAGAAAGCCAAAGTATATTTTATTCTGAGCTATGGGTGGAATATGTACGTTAGGTTCATTTAAGAGGAGTGCCAGCAGATTCTGCCAAGAAGAAGACTAGGGTAATTTCAGACGACTGGTCACCTGTTTGGGATGAAGAGTTTACATTTCCTTTGAGAGTTCCAGAGCTGGCTTTGCTTCAGATTGTAGTTCAAGAGTATGACAGTACGGATAAGGATGACTTTGGTGGGCAGACATGTTTGCCTGTCGCGGAGCTGAGACCTGGCATCCGAGCGGTTGCTCTTCATGACGAAAAGGGAATGAAATATAAATCCGTTAAGCTTCTCATGCAGTTTCAATTTGTATGAACAGAACATTTTTTGGTTATTTTTTATGTAGTTGTTGCTCTTGTGTGCTCTGTTTTGTTAGTCTTTACTCTTCAGTAGGATCTGCACATTCCATAGAATACAGATATTTTCGATTATATTAACCTTTTTTTTTGTGAATACAACTATAGTGCATTATGTTTGGTAGATTTAAAATAATAAGTATGAAGTGTTGGAGAGAGGATTTTAGAATATTTGAGAATTTGTAGAAATTGATAGAAGATTTCATAAGGGTAGAGAATTTAAAAATAGGTAGATATTTTAAGTGTATGATTTTAGAAACTAAATCCCAACCCTTGATCGTAATTCACTATAGCTGTCTATTAGGTGGAACCGTGGAGGATGTTATATATGTATAGTTCTCATTTGTAAAGACTAGTCACAACATGCAAGGTAAGCATGAGATGTTTAAGTGCAAAGAGTATTGTATATTTGAAATAAATTGAGTGTTCACTATCGTATGCTAATAATTAGCGTAATTGTGTGATGTCCAAAATGTCTCTCTAGTGCAAGAGGTCACAGTATCAGGCGCAGTTGTGTTTGGTGCGTAGAAATGTAATGAAATGGAATAATAATTATTTATTTGTTTAGTACACAACGTGGAAATGAGTAACTATTTATTTGTTTGATATGCAATTTAAATTGGGAATGAAAATTTATTCCTGGAAATGAAAATTTATTCCTGGAAATGAAAATCTACTAAACATATCCATTCTTGAGTAAATTTTTTTTAAAAAATCCAAGTTCTCAACAAATTCTTCCCAAATCCAAAAACCTACGGTGCCACTACCTTTCACCACCACCGTCGCCGTCCACCACAATAATCGCTACATTTCACCACCGCCACCTCCATTGCCACCACGTCCACTACCTTCCACCGTCACCACCGCCACCACCACCACCACCACCACCACTTTCCACCACTACAACCTTTTACCATCGCAACCTCTATTGCCTTCCACCATCGTTGCCATCGCCATCCCCGCAACCGCATTCCACCATTGTCACATTTCACCACCCCCACCTACACCACTATCACCTTCCACCACCACCACCACAGTGCCGCCACTGCCTTCCACCACCACCTCCACTGCCTTCCACCACCACCACCACCACCACCTCCACTGCCTTCCACCACCTACACCAGTGCCGCATTCCACCACCATTGCCTACCCCATTGACGCCTTCCACCACTGCCACCACTTTCCACCAACACCACTACCGTCCCCCAACACCACCGCCGCCGCCTTCCACCATTGCCGCCGCCGCCGCCTTCTAACACCACAATATACACTACTACCGCTTTTCACCTCCACCACCATCCACCACCACCATTTATTTTTTAAAAATTAGGGTTAATTTCATTGACTCCCCTTCAAATTTGGCCAAATATCACATTGAAACACCTTTCGAAAATTACTATCACTTAGACCCCAAATGACTTTTTTGTCAATGACACCGTTAAAAATGTGCAAAAAGACAATTTTACCCTATTTTTTTAATGCATTTTATTGTAAAATATTTTTAAAAATTAAAAGGACTAAAATGCCCTTACCCACTAGGGATGGCAACGAGGCGGGATGGAGTTGGCTAAACCCTATTCGTTATACCAACTCCGCTCCAACTCTGGAACGAGTCCCGCTCTACTCCGGTAGACAAAATACTGACTTCACCCGCATACTCCATTTAATTGCGGTAAAGTTGAAACTGTTGAATTAATTCCTGGACTTAGGGATAAAATACTAAAATCTTGAATCCTTGATTGATTCTTGAAGATTGAATCACGTGCACAATTCTAGAATTTTAGTAAGTAGTAATTCTAGTGAATATTTAGTCAAAATATATTAATGGACACTTAACTTATATAGATATATATATATATATATAATCGTCTCCCACCCCAAACTCGCTTCGGTTTTTCAATTTTTTTACCATATCCGACCCAAACCCATTTATGAAGCTACCAAATCTGCCCCATTAAGAGCGGGACAGGACGAAAACCCAGTGGGTTAGAAGAAATTGCAATCACTATTACCCACCCTGCAAATTTCACACTCCCATTCTATCACCACAAACCCTAATCACCAAAAACCCAATTCATCATGTTTGTTGTGGTGGTTTTGAAAGCTTTGAATATGTTGTGGGAGACCAAGGACAAAAATCATTTATTAAGAGGATTGGTACCCAAGCAATGGCAACGCCACCAACATCAACAATAGCAGTCAATACCATATTAGAGCAATGATCTTCATCTTAAGGTTTCCACTAAATGGGTAGTCTTTTGCATCTCAATTTATACAGAGAAGAAGTGGGACATATAGAGAGAGGAAATAGAGTACTTGTTGTACCATTACTAATTGCTTCTATTCCTATTTCTTTTGTTTTGTTGTTCATGGTGTGTTAATGAATGCGAATCTTTGTAAATGGTAGATGAAAATGAAAGAGAGAATTACAATTCCTTTCTTACAAGGGATAACTATATCTGTTAATTTTTTGTTTACTGGGTAAACAATCTTTTTGTTTGCTCTTCCCAAAAAAATAAAAAAATTCCCTGAATATTTGATGTTCATTTCATATCTTTAATCAATTTACCTCTTGATTACCTGTGTGTCCATAATATATATATATATATTGGGACTGTTCACTGGTGTGACTGCCGAATAGAGAATCTAACCTTGAAGTGTGCATATATTTTCCTGCACACTAAGGAGCAAGTGAACAATTCTGTACATATATATAAAGAATAATTGTAAATTTACAAGCACTAAAATGATTATTATCATTTCAGTCCTACACATTTCTTATTTGCATTCTAAATTTTAAATTTGTCCAACCGAACACTAAAATGATTTCATACTTGCAACCAAACAATTGGAATGAAAATGATCATTCCCTGCTCTTGAAATATATAAATATTTATGTATAATTGTGGAGCAAAATCTTCCATCAATCATGGTAATTTAGTCCATTTCCTTCTAATTATAAATATTTTTATATAACCATAGAACAAAATCCTTCACCAATCATGGTGCCTCCGACTAATTGTAACCATAGAACAAAATCCTCCACCAATCATGGAGCCTCCGACTAATTGTACTCATTCCATATATTCTTATTTTTACGATGCCTATATATAGACTCTTTGTAATCAAGTAATACTCAATAATAAAAATGTAATGTATATGTTATCCATATTTCTCTCTTCCCTTTTTCTATTTGCATTTCTTATTTTCTCATTCAATTTTAACATACTCCTTTCCCATTCTCATTCCATTCGTTCCATTTTCACTTGCCATTCCATTTCTGCAGCATTAAGTTAAGTCTTAACTCAAGAAAAGATAAATGGTTAACCTAAATTAAAAATAATTTTCAAATAGTTATCATTTAAGAGTAATTTGGTATACTTGCACATTTTCATTTCTCTAATAAAAAAAAAAAAAAATTTTAAAAAACCAGATTTGCCACTGTTCCGTTCAATGTTCACATCAAATGACATACTTGTAACGACCCAAATCCACTGGAACCGGATCATTAAACGGGTCCTTACCCAACCCAGAATCATCCAAGGGTATTATGGTCCTTTCACGTTAAATTTAAATATCAAGGTTCAAAAAGGACAAAATGGTAATTTGCCATAATTCAATAAATTGAGACTCCGAGGGTAAATTGGCCATTTACTTGTATCACATAATAATTAAAATAAGATCCGGGGTAAAATAGTCTTTTCGGTGGTCAAAACATAATTATTGCATTTATTTGGGTCATAAAATAATTACGTGTAACCTCACTTGGGTACCAAAGTGTAATTTAAGAATTTAAAATAGCAATTACATACGAAACAGAAACATATGAAACAGAAACCGGTCGACGTATATGCTTCATACGTCGACTGGTTTGGGACGTGAACAGTAATGATACCCACTTCTGAGATACCGGTCGACGTGTGGGATGTACACGTCGACTGGTTTAGGAAGTGTACAGTGACAACCTCTCTGCCAGGATACTGGTCAACTGATTCACACTATACGTCGACTGGTTCATGCTACACGTCGACTGGTTCATGTTACACGTCGACTGGTTCACGCTATACGTCTACTGCTTTTTGGTTATCCACACTCGCAATTCCCACTGTCCCACATACACCAACTTTGATAACCAATCACCTAATTACCACCATTGCATGTATACATATTTATATACAATTCAAAACCCAATACGATAACAATATTGGTAATAAATATTTTGAATGATACATAACACGTTCCAAGAAAATGCACCAAGAAGGATTTTATGAGATTATATTTAATTGCATCCCCAAATACAAGTCCAATACATCATTTAAAGACCGAATTACAAAAGTCTCATTTTATTCAAATTTTAAAGGAATTAAATACAAGAGTAAGGCCTCTATAACTAAAATTTACATAGCTTTGGTATAAATAAAAGTGAAGTCCTATCTACATTGAAATCCATGGATGTATATTATTCACCGGCTCATCTTCAATCCCTGAAAAATGATAATAAGTAGAGGAGTGAGCACAAGGCTCAGTAGAGAATGCCTAAGTGGCATCTCCTCAAGCAAGGTAAATAATTACATGTTTTACGAAAAATGAATAGAAACAAGAGCATGGGATCATGCAAGGGATTCACATACCACAATACCATTTTCCATAACCATCATGCTTTCATAATACAATTTCACATTTCTAAGGCCTCAATGGAATAATTTAATAATCTTGAGCATGCTTCATTATTCAAATGTTCTCTAGCATATAAATACAACCAAGAATATCACAACAACCATATGAGGAAAAATATATAAAGCATCACAGAACAACTCAACAACATGCCATTTGCAATTTAAACATAAGATAAGCATCTCATCACTTAAAACACCTCCATTCACAAACTCATACACATACCAAAAATCTAAAATTTAATCATGCATTTTAGCATTTAAATTGACATGTTAAAGAGGGGGAAAAACATCCAATTAACTACCAGAATTAAGGAATTTGACAATTAGACAAAC